TCGCAAAAGTTGAGATTGCCAACCACAAGGATCGAGCCCTTTGAGGTACGAGTAGCCAATGGAGAGAGGTTGCAATGCTCTGAGTCTTTTCGGAAGGTACCAATCAAGTTCTAAGGGGTCACGATAAAAGCTGATCTGTATGCTTTACCACTAGTTGGGCCAGATGTAGTGCTGGGAATTCAATGGCTTCAAGGGTTAGGCAAGGTGACGACCGACTATCGGACAGGCATTATGGAGTTCAACTCCGAAGGACGGCAGGTCACCCTAAGTGCCGACACTGATAAAGAAACTAAGGAAGTAGGGCTAAAAAATATTGAAAGAGTTTGGCGAGGTGGAGGCCAAATTTTTGCAGTAATAGTTGAGGACGTGGGAGCACACTCGAACAGGGACGCACAACAACAGGGAGATGTGCGTGAGCTTCTCGAAGAGTTTGAAGGAGTTTTGGGCGAGCCCAAAGGACTACCACCGCACCGAGAGTTCGATCATCGCATACCACTGGTCAACGAACAGCATGCCATTCACGTCCACCCCTATAGGTATGCTCACTTTCAGAAAACCGAGATCGGGCGGCAGGTTGCGGAGATGCTAGAGTCAGGACTAATTCAGCACAGCAAAAGTCCGTTTTCTTCTCCTGTACTGTTAGCTAAAAAGAAAGACGGCACGTGGAGGTTCTGTACTGACTACCGAGCCCTAAACGTTGCAACCATCAAGGACCGGTTTCCTATTCCGAGTGTTGATGACATGCTTGATGAGTTAGCTGGGTCACGGTATTTCTCTAAACTCGATCTACGAGCTGGTTATCATCATCTTCGGCTCCACAAAGCCGACATTTCCAAGACGGCCTTTCGTACACACCAGGGGCACTATGAGTATCTCGTCATGCCATTCGGATTATGCAACGCCCCATCCACTTTTCAATTCGCCATGAACTCTATCTTCAAAGAATACTTGCGTAAGTTCGTTTTGGTATTCTTTGATGATACCCTAATCTACTCAAAGTCATGGGGCGAACATCTTGGGCATCTAAGGATAGTTCTCGAAATTTTGGAGGCCAACTCATTCCACATCAAATCGTCCAAATGTTCATTCGGGCAAGAGATGGTTGAATATCTTGGTCATTTCATATCACATGACGGTGTGAAAGTCGATCCGCGAAAGATTGAGGCTATGGTCGACTGGCCTAAACCAACAAGTCTCACACAATTGAGAGGATTTTTGGGGCTCACAGGTTACTACCGGAAGTTCGTAAAAGATTATGGAACCATCGCCAAACCCCTGACAGCCATGACTAAGAAAGGCGGGTTCACATGGACGAAAGCTAGCGAGGAGGCGTTTGAGAAGTTGAAGGAAGCTATGACGACAACGCCAGTACTCGCAATGCCCAGATTTGATGTCTTGTTCGAGGTACACACCGATGCGAGCGACATCGGGATTGGAGCTGTGCTAGTACAAGAGGGGCGACCCCTAGCCTATCTCAGCAAAGCACTGGGCACTACTCGACTGGGTCTGTCAGTATACGTGAAAGAGATGCTAGCAGTTGTCGAGGCTGTACGGTGCTGGAGGCCTTATCTACTAGGTTGGCGATTTCAGATTGTTACCGACCAGCAACCGCTCAAGCACCTGTTGGAGCAAAGGTAGTTACCCCCGAGCAACAGAAGTTCGTGTCTAAACTTATGGGGTTTGACTTCGAGATAATCTATCGACCAGGTCGACAGAACGCAGTGGCCGACACACTATCCCGACGAACGGACGTGGCCGAGTTAAGTGGGATCACTGGACCTACTTGGGCCATTTGGGAAGAGATCCGGAAGGCGCAAGTAGAGGATACTCATTGCCTGGAGCTGCGCCAATCGATAGAAGCAGGTAAGACAACTGCTATCGACTACGAGCTGCACAATGATCTACTTCTACACCGAGGTCGAGTCTATGTCCCCGACGGTGGGCAGTTACGCGAGCAGATTTTGCAGCACTTCCATGACTCTAAGGTTGGAGGCCACTCGGGTATCTATCACACGTGGATGAAGATAGCCAACACTTTCTTCTGGCCGGGACAACAAGGTACCGTCCGGGACTACATAG